GCAACTCGGCTCGGGGTCAGATCACGAAATCCTGCAATAATTAGCAGACCGTCTCAACGAGAGTTAAATTTAGTCTGTACGCATGCTACCATAACCCCAACTCTAACCCTAACAGTAACAATAACCATAACCTTAACTATGTTATAATTAATTTCCAGGAAATCTTGCCCTACAGCAGCCATCCGAGTTATCATCTGTTTACTYGAACACAAGATTCCCTATATATGCCGTTGATGGCTCTCCTAACGGCGAACCTTCTGCAACTCTTTGCGCTATCTCTGTCCAAAATAATCCATACTGGATTGTTGATTTGGGAAAAACTTTTATCATTGACGAAGTGTTCATTATTGGACGATCTGACTGTTGCTTTACAAGAATGTTTGGCAGTGAAATTAGAGTTGGTAAGAAAGCACAAAAAAAATGTTTAGCTATTCATAATTTATACGTTGTGTTTGGGGGGGGGAGGGCTAAGTGGATATTGAAGGAAGCCACCAATTTGTTTAGTCAAAATTTAGGGGGCGATCAAAAAATGGGGGCCAGCTTTATATTCTACAATTCTGAGGGGGCACAAATAAATATTACTTTTGTAAAGGGTGCTATCAAAACGATGTTACTTTAAAACTCAGAATCGACAAAGACCCCAACACCAACACAACCCATGAATTTTTAAGGGTCCCCTTTTAATGATGACGCCCCTAAACTACCTAACTCTCTGACTGACTTAATGAATAAATACCGTGAAATATCCTCCATAGAACTTTTACTGTACTTCATGTATTATCGACATATGGAGCTCATYCCATCAATCTCATTTCAGGTGACCAGTTTGGAGAAGGTAGTGCTTCAAATCCTAAATGCACAGACATTCCATCCTTTTCCGGTCAGTTAATGTCAGCGTTTAAATGTTCACCTGGTTTAAGAGGAAGGTATGTCAGTATTCACCTACCAGGGGCCAACAAGGAATTAACTTTATGTGAAGTAATGGTCAACCGCAATCCTACCGGTAAGCAAAGCCCCCTCTTATTAACAATTAGGCTACGAGGTCGAGTTTTCTATGAGTCAATAGATAGTGGATGAGGCGCGTAGCGCCGATTCGACTATTTGATTCATAGAAAASGAGAACGAGTAGTCTAATTGTTTTAGCATAAACCTACTAGCTAATATTATAGTACTGAAAACAAAGAATGACTACACTGGAAACTTTACTGTACAAAGYGACGGTCAATCGGCGGCAATGTTTTCATTCATCTTTGCGAACTCGACTCGAAGTCTTGAAGTATTCTCGGTTTTCACTCACGTGACCAAATCCTTGACAACCGTTGCTATCCGCCATAGTGGTGTACCAACAAACACTTGAAGTGCTCGTAGTATGAAGTAAAATTAATAATAATAATAATAGTTAAGATGGTTCTGTGCTTATTTGTGGATTGCCACTTAAGAAGTGGTCGAGATAAAGATGTTTCCTTATTCAGAGTGCCAGTAATTGATAGAAATCACGGTGAAGAGGCAGAAGAGCTTTCAATAAAGCGTCAAACGAAGTGGATCGCGGCTATAAGCAGAGATGACTTGACGAAACAAATCCTTAAAAACGACCGTGTTTGTAGCCGTCATTTTATCTCCGGACGTCCAGCAAAACCGTGGGATAAATATAATGCTGATTGGGTGCCTACCCTCAACCTTGGGCACACGAAAASTAACAACAAAGACAAGGGGAAAGTAGTCCAGGAACGAGCAGAGAGAGCCAAAGCTAKAAGAAAGAAGAAGCTTGAAGACGCGAGCAGCAGTAAGGGGGGCTCGCGGTCAATGTCAAAGATTTACGGGTTTTACAGGCGGTTTAAGGAAGGCGCCGGCAGCGGGAAATACCCACGCGACAAGTCCTTACTGCTGCTACCGCAAACGGAGGTTAAAATATTTTGTTGGATATACGATGCACGAATGTAAAGAGTTTGTGAATGATTTCTGTATAATTTGCCTAAGATCCAAAGTTAACATACCCAAGCC